AGCCGTGCAAGTGAGTCACCTTGGAAGCTTGTCCTCTAGCCTCGGTCAAGTCTTCAAATGCAGGTAGCCCTGACTGGCATGCTGACGGCAACCTCATGGGAGACCCTGAGCCAGAGCGAGACCTCAAACTGAGTGAGATGATCAATACTCCTTGTTTTAAGTTGCTAAGTGTTGGGATGATCATTTTGCAGTAATTGATCACTAATACACATGTACCACTGTACAAGTCTATTATGTACGTTACAAAACATATCCCCAAGTAGAAATCTAAAGAAACGGGATAGCTGCCAGCCCAGTGGCGTAGTGGTTAAGTTTGCATGCTCCGCTTCAGTGGCCCGGGATTCACAGGTTTGGATCCCGGGTGCAGCTACGCACCACTTATCCAGCCATGCTGTGGCAGGCGTCCCATATATAAAAAATAGAGAAAGATGGACACAGATATTAGCTCAGGGCCAATCTTCCTCAACAAAAAGAGGAGGATTGGTGGCAGATGTTAGCTCAGGGCTAATCTTCCTCACCAAAAAAAAAAAAAGAAAGAAAGAAAGAAAGAAATGGGATAAAAATGTACATAAATAAAGTTCTGATGTCTTCTTACCATACTCCTAATGGATGATCTTGTACCCCTCTGGGGTGCCTGTCCCCTCTTTGGAGACCGTTGTGCTTCTGAATGACCTTCAGAACGCCTCACCCTGAGATTCAAGGCCCTCTTCAGGGTAGTCCAAGCTACCTTTCTGGTTTCCTCTTCCAAGAGTCACTTGCTTATTACCACTGATAAAATCCTACCTGTTCTTCTGGCCAGCATTATTGACCTCCTCTCGGGAGCCTTTCTCGATTGCCCTGAAGGTGGGATCCCCAGCTTCGGAGCCCAGCCTCTCTGAACTGCTCTCTGCATGTGCTCCACATCCCACAGCGAAGTGTACTGGGGGTGCGGGGGGTGGAGGGTGGGCGGTGGGCGGAGCAGGGGGGCGTTGTTCGTGAAGTATGTTGGCAGAGTCCTCAAAGTGGCCCCAAGATTCCACCCTGTCGTCCCTGGGACCGGTGACTATGATGAGCTACCACTTTCACAATTACGTTGTTATACATAGTTGACCTTATAGATGACCATGTATGTGTGTTATACACACAGTTGACCTCAGGACAGGAAGATTTTCCAGGTGGGCCACATTTAATCACACGAGCCCCTTTAAAAGCAGAGAAGTCAGAGACTGGAAGCATGAGAAAGATTCCGTGCACTTTGCGGACTTTGAGGATGGAGGAGCCACGTGACGAGGAATGCAGGTGGCCTGTAGGAGCAGAGGACAGCCCCTGGCTGACAGCCAGCAAGGAAATGGGGACCTCAGGCCTATAGCTGCAAGGAACTGGATTCTGTCAACAACCTGAACCGGCGTGGAAGCAGATTCCTTTCCTCCTTTGCCTCCGGAAATGAATACCGTCCTGCCAGCCCCTTGATCTCAGCTTTGTGAGACCCTGAGCACAGAGCCCAGTTGGCCTTCTGCGCTACAGGACTGTGAGCTAGTAAACGGGTGCTGTTTTCAGCCACTAGGTTTGTGGTACTCAGCAGTAGAAGATGAATCCGTGAGCCTTTGTCCCTGAAGACCTCGCATGATTCAAGGCATAGGTTCTCAGAAGAACAAACATAAAAAGGTGGACGAGTTCTCAGAGTGCGTAAATCTACTACCCTGTGGTATAGTTTCGTTTTTAGCTACTTTTTAGTTTCTTGGGATTATCGCTGGTATTTTGCAGATGGCCTCCTTGGAAACTGGTGGCCCAGTGTGTCATGTGGTGTGTCTGGCTTTCTTCACAGTGTTTCGTCACCTCTGACTCCCATTCTAAAGCGACCGCCTTTGGAGGGTGTTCTTCAGCACTGGTCCAAGCACTGCTCCCTCAGCAATGAGTCTGGGAACGTGGGTATAGGTAGAAACCAGACTTCAAACACATCTTGTTCCAGGCAGCAGCGCTTGGCGGCTGCGGGATGGGTGCCCCGTTGTTGCCCCCGGCCTGGCAGCTCTCCCTCAAGGACCACCGCGTCTCTACCTTCAAGAACTGGCCCTTCTTGGAGGGCTGCGCCTGTACCCCGGAGTGGATGGCGGTGGCCGGCTCCATCCACTGTCCCACTGAGAATGAGCCCAACTTCGCGCAGGGTTTCTTCTGCTTTAAGGAGCTGCAAGGCTGGGAGCCAGACGAGGACCCCGTAGAGGAGCATGAAAAGCATTCATCCGGCTGTGCTTTCCTGTCTGTCAAGAAGCGGTTTGAAGAATTAACCCTCAGTGAATTTTTGAAACTGGACAAAGAAAGAGCCAAGAACAAAGTTGCAAAGGAAACCAACAGTAACCAGAAAGAATTTGAAGAAACTGCAAAGAAGGTTCATTATGCCATTGAGCAGCTGGCTGCCTTGGAGTGACGCCTCCCCACATTCACGGGTCCCCCAGTGGCGGACATAATTTCCAAGCACATTCCCCAATGTTACCGACTTTTCTGTGGGGCCCCTTAACAGTGCCTTAGGACAGGAGAATGTCAATATTTTGAAATTAGAATATTTAAACCATATTTTCGTTGTTTCTTGAGAGTGGTCCCAGGGGTTACTTCATTGTACAGCTGATGCTACTGAGTCCAGTGACTGGTTCTCTCTTTTTTCCTGGCGGTTTTTGCTCTGTTGACTCCTGGACTCGCCAGGGTGAGAAATTTGCTCCCGTGGGTAGACCTCTTCCACAGCGACATGTCTGGGCTTCACGTTGACTAGTGGCTGTCGAGCTTGAGATTCGATTCGTGAATGCGATCCTAGGTCCATTGTGACTGGACAAAGAATTAAGGATACTATTTTAAATTTTATTTGTGTAATAATCCGAATTTATAGTGTGCCTTTCTGTGTTCCGAATACTCTGTATTAGCTCGCTTTGACATCTACACGTCTGTGACCATCCTTGTACCCGTCAGGTCTGCGGTATAACAGCAGCCTCCCTTTGCTCCAGAGCGGATCATATGGAATCACCTCCCTGCCGAGCCTCTGGAAGTGCTGTGTGTGTGAAGGTGGCCCCTCGCCTGTCCCGGCATTTTGTAACCTTCAAGCTCACAGACGGAGAACTGGTGGTGTCAAACCGCAGGCCCTGCCTCGGGACTTGACGTGTGCTAGTGTTCTTGCCATGACTGGAGTGTGAATGGCGGGGTGGCGCGGAGCAGGGCTCATGTCTCGAGCTGATGTCTTGCTTTGAGGTCAGTTGAAGATACTTCTTTACCCAATGGGCACATGGCAAGGTTGCAGCATTTCTCTAAAACAGTTGAGGAAAAGGTCCTTAATACCAGACAAGGCATTTTCCAAAGCCCCAGCTCACTGCTTCATCCTCTCTCGAGTTAGAAGGGTCCCCAGTGAGAGCGGCTTCTTCCCGGCAAGCCCGCTCTGGAGGAGCTGTCATTCACAGAGGGGGCAGGCACAGGTGGCCTGGGAAACACGTGTAAGGAGTTCCTGGTCTTAATATTGTCAATACTCTGCAAACAGCTATTTCTCATTGATGTGGACTAGGTGGCTGATAATTCACCTGTCTTTCTAATGTGAATCTTCCTAAAAGAGGGCAATGGAATAAATTAATTTAAAAAGTGAAACAAACAAGCAAAAACAACAACAAAAACAATCTCGTTCCAGTAGAACGTGCAAACGCAAGAATGCACAGATCGTAAATGCACGGCTTTCTGCAGTTTTGCAAACCGAAGGCTCCTGTGCAACCAGTGTCCAGATCAAAACGCTGGACATTGCCCTCACCTCAGGGGCCCCCCGTGCTTCCTTCCAGTCACCGCTTCTGCAAGGCTAACTACTATTCTGACCAAAACAGCGTAGGTTTGTTTGCCTGAATAAACCAGATTGTGAGTGAGAATATCTGAGAATACTAAATTAACAGCCCAATAGTCACCAAAATTACTGGCCATGGTCCCAGTGCATGCAAACAACAGGGGGGTTTTCAAGACACAGACAAACGGGCGCACCCAGGGCTTTCACATTTTACCCAAGGGATGCGTTCCTGAATATCTCACGTGTGGGAAAACTGTCCCAACTCAAGACTAGTTTCCTCACTGAAATAACTAACGTGGGCTTTGTGTGACTTCACATGTGAGGCCTAAAGCAAGACTTGTTAATATCTTTAATGTTGCCCAATTTCTAACAGCATAATTCAAATTCACACACTCCTCTCTGAACACAACCCTCTCTGAATGCCCATGGAGCTGTGAGGGACCAAGTTTTAGCATCTCTGGGACCCTGGGGCTGGGTATGGTTCTGGGGCCAGCGCACGGGTCTTGGAATCGGGCTGCCCAAATGCCAGTGCTCACTCAGCTGCTTCCTTGCAGCATGACCCTGGGGAAGCTCTTCCCTTCCAGGGCCTCAGTTTCCTCATCTGTGAATCTGGGGAAATGAGAGGAATTGGTGAATGAACAGCCACAGGCACGTGATGGGAGCCCAGGGAGGTTTGCTGGCGCCAATCACCGTGGAGGTGGGAAAAGCCTGCTCTGTGCCTCTCCCCCCACCACACCCCCTCCTGCTTGGAGGAGTTCACTCCCTGTGAGAGTGAAGCCAGTTAGCTCCAAGCTGGGGAGCCTGGCGGCTGAACCCCCCAAGGAAGCTGGGGCCTAGGCTCAGATGCCAGGGTCATAGGACCAGATTGGGCAAGAGCAGAGAACCGGTCCCTTTGATCCTGGTCAGGGAAATTTGGAGACACCGACAATTCTGGGAAATTTAGAGGCAGGAAGTGAAAGGGGGAGGGGCAGAGGGGAAACAGTGAACTGCATCCCAGCCCCTCCTGGCCTGGCCCCCCCACCCCAAATGGCGCAATGAGAGCGGTGACCGGCATGTGGGGGTGTGGGGACAGACCAGGAGACTCCCCCTTTCTGGGAAGGAAAGCAGAAGCAACCCATCCTCCGCTCCCACCCCCAAACGTCCCCTGGGTTCCCAGTCCATTTCCACTTCTGTTTACGTCCAAAGTCCCAGGCACTGGGGATGCCAGTTCGTGTGCGCAGGTACACAGACACCCAGACACGCAGAGGCGCAGGGCTCGGGGCCTCGTATGGACCCTGCGCCTCCCCTTGCACCATCCAGGGCTGTCTGCGCACCCCGATTCTCCAGGCTTCAGCTCCCTTCTTAGCCGGGGATCTGCACAGCATTGAGGGACCCAGGAGTCAACCTTGAGACCTTCAGCAAGTAAAAGGGGAAGAAAGGCAGGAGGACTGACTGTGGGAGGTGGGGGAGGGGAGGGGGGGACATGCTGTCATGAGGGTTGGGGGCTGGGTGGGAAAACTTCAGAGGATGGGTTTTGCATGTTAGGCCAGGGAGGGAATAGGGGAAAGAAGAAAGGTCTCCATGTAGCCACCGATCACTTAGAAAGGGGCTAGACCCCACATCCCAACTCCATTCACCTCCAACCTCAGCCCTAACCCTGGCCTTGACCTAGTCCCAGGTTCAGCCTGCCTTACCATGACAAGGGAGTATCAAGATCTTCAGCATTTGGACAACGAGGAGAATGACCATCAGCTCAGAAAAGGTGAGGGGACACTGCCCCCCATTTCTGAAAGGTCAGCCTTAGGTGGCTATCGCCCCCTCACCCTCAGCTTCTTTCTGTGACCCTTGACTCTCTCTCTGGGTCTGCCCCACTCACAAGAACGTGGTGTCTCAGCCGCCCCTCTCAGGGCAGGTACAGGGTGTGAAGCTGCAGTCTCCTTCTTGCTGACAGGTGCCCAAGGCTTCTGCATGACCCTCCTGACAATCACCTTGTCGCTCACTTCTCAGGACCATGGGGAGGGGGTGACCCAGGCAGTGGGAGTAACTGGAAGAAGTTAGGCCCCCTCCTGCTTTCCTCTTCCAACAGCCTGCGAGCCTTGGTCATGTGTGTGAGTGTGAGTGTGAGTGTGAGTGTATGGGGTGTCTGGAATCAGTTTGGTCAAGCGGGTAAGGTTTCTGTGAAGAGGCTGAGCGATCTCCGATCCGAGGGGGGATGAGGCTGTCCATCAAAAAACAAGCCGGGCCAGCCCTGTGGCCGAGCGGTTAAGTTTGCACGCTCTGCTTCGGAGGCCCAGGCTTTGGCGGGTTTGGATCCTGGGCACAGACGTGGTTCTGCTCATCAGGCCATGCTGAGATGGTGTCCCACATAGCACAACCAGAAGGACCTACAACTAGAATATACAACTGTGTGTTGGGAGGCTTTGGGGAGAAGAAGAAGAAGATTGGCAACAGATATTAGCTCAGGTGCCAATCTTTAAAAAGAAAACAAAACAGAAAAACAAGCCCCGCTTCTTTCTCATGTGAGCAAGGATGAAGCTCCTGGGTGATGGGAGTGGGCAGTGCCCTTTGATGGAGGAAGGGGCTACAAGGGAGGAGAGAATGAAGGGGACGCCCCCACATCCTAGCTCACAGGGATGCATCTCCCCGAGTGGGAGCAACTTGAGGGGCCTGAAGTCTGGCTACTCTGCCTTCTCTCTCTGCATCCAGCCAAAGAGGAGTGGGATTCATGGGGAGAGAAAGAAAACCCCTTCTCTTGCCCCTTTGAGGGGGGAGCTGACTCCCCAGCTGGCCGCCCACTCCATGAGTCTCCTCCAGTTCACAGACTGGGTCCTCAAGGCTCTGAGGAGGTTCGCCAGCTGCAGTGACACAGTTAGGCCACTAGGTGTCAGCAAAGACTCAGGGCCTGGGTAGGGCTAGGGCAGCTCTACGCATAGCACCCCTTTCCACCCCTCTTCCCTTTCCCGCCTCCAGTTGCCTCTGGCCCCTCAGGGTCACCCACTGTCCAGATTTCTTAATCTATATGGTTCCTCCTAGGCTACTAGAAGAGCCTTAGTCTGCTCTCCTCCTAGGATCCCAGAGCTGCTCCAGTCTCCCGTCTGTCCTTGAGACCCTGACACCTGCTCCTCTTGCAGGGCCACCTCCTCCCCAGCCACTCTTTCAACGCCTCTGCTCTGGAACCCGCCTCCTCCTGCTCTCCCTGGGCCTCAGCCTCCTGCTGCTGGTGGTTGTCTGTGTGATCGGATCCCAGAGTGGGTGCCCTGGGGGTGGGCTGGGAAGGGAGAAATGTTGCGGGGGACAGTGGTGGAAGGAGAGCTGGTTGCTGTGATGGTGAATGCAGCCCCCTCATTTGGTTCTATCCCCACTGGCTCCTGCCCAGACTCCAAGTTGCAGGAGGAGCTGCAGGCTCTGAGAAAGACGTTCAGCAACTTCACAGTGAGCACGGAGGCTGAGGTCAAGGCCCTGAGCGTCCAGGGTGAGGAGGGCTGGGGCTGGGGTTCGGAGGCTGCGGAAGGCTGGCAACGTTGGGACACTGAGCAGGTCTCTCCCCCAGGAGGAGGTGTGGGCAGAAAGATGAAGTCCCTGGAGTCCCAGCTGGAGAAACAGCAGCAGGAGCTGAGTGAAGGTCAGAGAGGGAGTATGCGCATGTGTGCATCTGTGTGTGTGTGTGTGTGTGTGTAGGATACAGAGGGTCCTTCAGGCCAAACCTAGGGGTCTTGCGGCAGGGGCCTCTGTGATTGATCTTGGGGCCCCAGCACGCAGATGACAGACTCCTCCCAACCCCCAGAGCTCATCCTGACCTCCTTTTCCTTTCCCTCTCATCTCCCTGCCCCGCCCTCTGTCTCCCCAGATCACTCCAGCTTGCTGCTCCACGTGAAGCAGTTTGTGTCTGACCTTCGAAGCCTGAGCTGTCAGATGGCCATCCTCCAGGGCAATGGTGAGGAGGCAGGCACCCAGCCCTGCTTTCCTGCCCATTTCCCTCCAGGCAGCATCTCAGCTCCTCTACCCTCCCCTGACCCCCAGGCTCTGAAAGGACCTGCTGCCCGGTTAACTGGCTGGAGCATGAAGGCAGCTGCTACTGGTTCTCTCGCTCTGGGAAGCCCTGGCCCGAAGCCGACAAGTACTGCCAGCTGGAGAACGCCCACCTGGTGGTGGTGGGCTCCTGGGATGAGCAGGTGAGGGCCCAAGAGGGCTCATCTGGGAGGCTGGCTGTTCTAAGGAGAGGTCACCACCTGCCTCCTCTCTCTCCAGAAATTTGTCCAGCACCACATGGGCCCTGTGCACACCTGGATGGGCCTCACTGACCAGAATGGGCCTTGGAAATGGGTGGATGGAACCGACTACGAGACGGGTTTCAAGTGAGTGTGCACCTCACCCCGCCCTCCCTGCCTGGGGGTCTGGGGCTCCTGGGCCACATCCCGCTCGTCCCTTCAGAAACTGGAGGCCGGAGCAGCCGGACGACTGGTATGGACACGGGCTTGGGGGAGGCGAGGACTGTGCCCACTTCACGGAGGACGGCCGCTGGAACGACGACGTCTGCCAGAGGCCCTACCGCTGGGTCTGCGAGACGGAGCTGAACAGGGACAGCTAGGAGCGTCCCTCCCCTAACTTATTTCCTCAGTGCCTTTACCTGCCAAAGGGGCTGGGGTTGGGGACCATCCTATCTGGGGGCCTCCTCCACTTCCTCCAGTATCTTCCTCTAGGATTTGAAGGGAAGGGGGAAGGGCAGTGTCTGAGGAATGTAGAATGATGTTTGGAGGGGCGGGGAGATTGGAACCCATGTCACTTTCTGCAGTTTGCTGGTTATTATTGTCAACTTTTTTAGAGTAAAAAGAAGAGAAATATATGAAACATTCTGAGTTGTCTGGTTATTGGGGACAAGGGATCAGGACTGGGCTGGTGGCACTAGGAGGCTCTGGGCAGGCAGCAGGGCCGAGGGGGCACCGCATGGGCTTTGGGCCAGGTGGCCTGGCTCCGTTCTTTACAGGCTGGGGAGTGAAGGCAGTTATTCTGCTCTCTAAGTCTCAGCTATAAAATCGGATTTTTACCGGGACCGTCCTGCCTCCAGCAATCCCCCTGGAAACAGAATCACCCCAACGTGTTGAGTGCTTCGAAAGCTTTGACTGAAACTCATTGGCGTCTGCTGCGTGACAGATGGGTAATGAATACAGTGATGGAACTTTTCCCACAACCAAGTCCACAATCAAGAATCACCAAACCACTGAGGAAAACCGGTATCACGGAAGAGAGGACCCCAAATAAATAGAATCCACAAGCCAGGATGTGAGTTAACAGGACAAACAGATTAAGACTTTACAGACACTTTTGGGATAATCAACAAAAATCAACAATGTATTACTCCACAAATAAGACCACATCTAATTCTAAAAAGGAGCAATGGTCTGGTCATAATAAAGTCAAGTCAGAAATGAGCACAAAAGTATAGCCGAAAAAGATCTACGTCATGTAAATTTCTTACCATCTTTCTGATAACTTTGAGTTTAAGAGAAAATCGAAATAAAGTCAAGTGATTTAGAAATGAACAAGGAGAGTGCTACATCCTGAGATTGTGGGAAGGTTCAAAGCAATTCCCAGGAGGAAATGTATATAGCCTTAAGTGCATTTATTAAAAAGCAGGAAAGGCTGAATTGAAATAAGCTAACTCAAGAAACTTGAAAAAGAATAACAAAATAAATCCCCCAGAATAGAAGGAAGGAATTTATTTTTAAAAAAGCCAAAATTAATAAACTAGAATATAAAGCATAGATAAGATCCATAAAAGAAAAATCTGATTCTCGGAAAAGGTGAATAAAATAAACAAATATGAAGGAGAATAAAAGGAAAGACAGACATCTGACTTTAGAAAGGAGAGAAGTTCCAGAAATACAGATATATAAGATATAATTATGTAACACTTCCAGATTTGAGACAGCAAAGACAGTTTTTTCCCTACCATTATTTTTTAGGTTAATCCCTTAGAGCTTGTAATTCCAAAGTTACGAGGGGGAAAATTGAAGAAAAAAATACTAATTTTAAGGACAGCAGGAAAGGAGAGAAAAAGAAACAAAACAGGTAGATGAGAAAAAGCACAAAATAAAAGGTTAGTTATGAATCCAAATATGTTGCTGATTAAATGCAAAAGACTAAATTATCTTGCTGAAAGACAAGAGCTTCCAGACAGAATAAAAAGTAAAATACCACGATACGCCAAGAGACACATCTAAAACAGAGTGGTTGAAAGCAAAAGTATTAAAAAGATATATTAGGCAAATTATAATCAAAATAATTATCATATAAAGTACACTTTGTAACAAAAAGTATTATTCGAGATAAAGAGGGTCACTTCCAAATGATGAAAGGCTTAATTAAACAGGAAGATACACCAGTGTTAAATATATGTGCATTGAATCACATAGCCATAAAATACATGAAACAAAAATTTTAGATGTAAGAACAAGAGACAAATCTAGACTCATAGTAGATTGCAATACATCTCTCTCAGTAAACGATGGGTCAAGCAGACAAAAAGTCACTAAGGAAACAATGTTTTGAAACCCAGATTGAACTATCATGATCCAAGTGACATATTTACTACGCTACACTCGTCTACTAGACAATACCTATTCTTTTCAAGCACACTGTGACGTTTTTAAAAAACTGAGCAAATACTGAGCCATAGAACAAGTTTTAACTAATTTCAAATAGAGAATTTTCACTATAATGACCAGAAATGTAAAATTCCTTTATAAAATATTAGCTAACCCAATCGAGTGGTGTATTAGGAGAGATAATATGTTCAACCAGCATATACACCAGGAATTCAAAGGTGGTTTAACATCAGAAAAATTTATTAATAAAATAGACTTAGGGAGTACAGAAGACTAAATTAATGGAATACAAAAGAAAAAATTACAAAATACAGGAAAAGCACTTGGCAAAGTTCAACACCTACTTATGATAAAATATTTTAGGACCTTGACTGTTTCTATTTTGTTGCTCTACTATTCTCAACTTGTGGAGTCTGTCACATGTTCCAAGATGTCAGCCCCACTCCAGCCAAGACACATTCCAGGCAACAGAAAGGAGAGAAGAGAGGAGAATGGTGTGTTCTCTCTCTGTGTGAGGACACTTCTGGAAGCTGTATGCACTTTAGTTTATATCTCTTTGATCAGAACTAGGCTCAGGGCCACAGTTAGCTGCAAATGTGGCTGACAAGTATGCTCTTTATTTTAGACGGTCCAATTTTAGCTAAAAACCGGTAGATTCTATTAATGTAGAGCAGGAGCCAGCAAATTATGACTCTCGCCTGTTTTTGTAAATAAAGTTTTATTGGAACACAGCCATGCTCGTTTGTCTACATATTGTTTACGACTGCTTTCATGCTATAAGCACAGTTGGGTAGTTACAATGAAGCCTGCAAAGCCTATAATATTTGCCATTTGGTCTTTTACAGAAAATTTTTGCCCACCCCTTGTATAGAGAAAAGGGGAGAATGGATATTGGGGTCAATTAGAAGTCTCTGCCATACTGCTGTTGCGCTTCTGTTTAACGTCATCCTAGGCATCCTTGCCAAACTGCACAAGACAGGAAAAGCCATCAGAGTTGTAAGGATTGGAAAGGAAGAGATAAAACAATATGATCATCTACGTGGAAAATCGACACCGTTAACAGCTACATCTACTAAGAGGGTTCTGCAGGTATATGTCAGCTATCACCGTGATAATGTATAAAGAATATACAAGAAAAAAATTAAAATTCTTTTCAAATTAATATATAAATTCAATGCAATAAAGGTAAAAATTTCAGCTGGCTTTTAAAAAGCAGCTCAGCAATCTTTGCCAAAAAATTATATAGAAAGATAAAAGACAATTTGGGGGAAAAAAGGACAAACATTGAAAGAAAAGGAAACTGGACTTATTAGAATATATTACAAACCCATATTCATAAAAACAGAATGGTGATGATACAAGAACAGACAAGTAGACCAATGGTATAGAATGGGGAACTCAGAGCCAGAACTATGTGCAAATGGGAACTTAATATACAATAAAGGGGTCGCCTCAAATTGGTGGAGGAAAGACACTATTGGGAAAACTGGCTTTCCATAGGAAGAAAAAATTCCATATCTAACATCACATCCAAAGGTGGATACTGAGTCGATTTAAGACCTAAATACAAAAGGTAAAATTACAGAAGTAATAGAAAAAAAAAAAGGAAAGAGAATCTTTCTACCAAAGGGCGCAGAAGAATTTCATAAATAAAGCTTCCAAAGCAAATACCAAAGAGCCAAAACATTTAGTGAAATTGACTGCATGAAAATTAAAAATTTCAGCTCAATGACAATGTATTAGTTAGGCTCCCAGCAAGAAACAGATGGCATACGTGAAATGGGTAATTGGTGGATGACTCTTTCCCTTCCAAAAAACCCCAGGGCATAGTGGCATATCCTAGTTTTAAGTTGTTCTAGTTCCTCATGTGAGCCGCCGCCATGGCGTGGCAACTGACAGATGGGTGGTGTGGTTTCACAACCGTGACGGGGAAGGGAACCTCGGCTGCCAAATTGATGAGCGCCAAAGCTGAACCACTAGGTCATCAGGGCTGGCTCTGGAGGATGTTTTAATAAAGGGACAGTTTACAAAGATGTGAGCAGGATTAGGGAAGCCACAAGTAACAGGGCAGGAGCACAGGTGTCCCGGCAGTGGGGAGTTGCTAGCTCCTCCAGGAACACAAGGAGAGAGAAAGCTGTGTGGAGAGGCCCCTCTAAGAGCTGTGACTTTGTCAGTCTGTTGTGACTTTTGTTGCAGGAGGCAGCTGTCCCACAGCTACCCTGCAGGGAGAGACTGGGGGAGTCGATAGCCTCGCCTCCCTGCTCTTCCTCCCTCTGATTTTCTGCTAGTGCTGGAAGCCAGATGGCAAGGGAGCAATTTGATGGCCGTCTAGCTCTGCCTCCAAGGCCACTGGATGTGGAGGGAAAAATGGAAGACATCCAGCTCAGAAGGAGACTAGAGATGAAGAAACAGACAGGAAATCTGTTAGAGAAGAAGCAAAGGATACAGACAGACAGTTCCCTGAAGAGGAACTCCTGGGGTCTAATGTGCGTATGAAGACATGCTTCTAATTACTAGTAACGAGGCAAAAGCAATTTAAAACATCACTGAGTCATCTCTTTACACCCATACGAATGACAAAAATTAGACAAGAAGTCCAGTGCTGGCAAGGATGTAGGGAGATTGAGAACCTTATGCACTGCTGAGGGGAGTATAAATTGGGATAGCCATTCTGCAAGGTATTTAGTGGAGTTAAGACTGCATATATGCCATGATCCCTGCACGCCCACTTCTGGGAATAAATACCGGGGAAATTCTTTCACTGGCACATTATGGGACACTTCAAAGATGTTCACGGCAGTGCTGTTTGGGTAGTGGGAACTGGAGGCGACCTAGGTGCCTGCTGATAACTTTATGTAGTGGACGTGCCTCATAGACTACTGTCCAGCATTTAGAAGCAGTGACTATGGTGCAGCCACTACAGAAAACAGTGTGGAGGATCCTCAGAAATGAAAACATATGATCCAGCAATCCCACTTCTGGATGTATATCCAAAGGAAACAAAATCAGGATCTCGAAGAGTGAGCTGCACCCTCATGCTCATTGCAGCATTATTCACAATGGCCAAGGTACGGAAACAACCTAAGTGTTCGTTGATGAATGAATGGATAAAGAAAATGTGGTATGTACATATATACAACGGAATATTATTCCATTGTATGGAGTAATACAGGAGACGTATAATGCCATGAGAAAGAAGGAAATCCTGCCATTTGTGACAACATGGATGAACCGGGAGGCCTT